TTCTAGGAAAAGCATATTTAAAAAGAAATGCAAGTATACAGTATACAGCATGAATGTTAAACATGAATTTCAAATTTGGCTTGAGCTTCCTGACAAAATTTTCACTATCAAAAACTGGCTTCCGAAACTATTCTAAGAATCACATACTAATATATCTTACATGGGACTTTATATAAACGATACTGAGGCTGGGTGTGGTGGCGCACACCTGTAATCCAAGCACTTTGGGAGGCTGAGGCAGGAGGATCATTTGAGGCCAGGAGTTTGAGACCAGCCCTGGCAACACAGCAAGACCCCATCTCTAATAAAATTTAAAAATTAAAAAATTAGAGGGCACAATATGACACAGAGGACAATACCCTTGACAACATCATATTGCAAATCCAGTTAAAAATTTTTGCATGGTTACTTTAAGCAGTTAGCTTAGGTGAAGGTGGAAGGTCCAAATTAAAATGCTACTTGGTGAAGGCAATTGTGCTAGGGGCTGCTTTTGCAATACAAAGTTTTTACACTGAAGGCTTCTTAAATGTGAATTAGTCTTCCCAATGGGATAGCAATTCTAATTTAATGGCTAGGAAAACCCAGTACAGAAATAAAAAGTTACTTGACATAGCTAAAAATCATTTAGGGACAGGCCTAACATTTGATCCTTTAGATTCAGCCAGAAAGTTCAGGGTCTCTTATAATTTTAGCAGGACTACAACCCAAGGCTTCAGATTTACTGGACATTTTGCTCCTCCAAAACGATGGCCACTAACTACAGGGAATTAGTTTGCAGTATGTGCATGTATGGTGGCATTCTGGAGATTAAGCATTGTAAATATGAAGTCTTGGAGTTAAAAAAGCACACACCCAATTTTCAGTATTATGTCAACAAATATAAACTACCCAAAACAGCAATATATAATCACCTATATTGACTATGCTCAAAAAACACACTGAATTGGTTTTAAAATGGCAATGGCCGTGGGAAGCAAGGAATTATCAACAAGAGAAGCACCTGCTATCTAATCTTTCTCCCATAATCTGCGTTTGGAATCACAGGCTAGAAAGTATCTAGTGAGGGCATCTAGTCTGCATACACACTCTTATCCCATTTTCAAAGATCTCTATTTAGATCTCTAGTCCAGCTTGCTCTTATCTTAAATCGTAGCACCTACAGCTTAGGACTAATTCCTTTTATCAATGAAAATGATGAATCACTACTTTCCTGTAAATACTTTTACAAAGTTGGAAATCATTAAGTAACTAGTCTTCTCTCATTAACAAGATAACTACAATTATTTGAACCTTTCCCCAAACATTAATCTTTAGACCTCTTCCTACTAGGATATCTCATTACTTTCCACTTCAACAGTTTGGTACTTTATTATGAGCTTCACAAATATCCAGAATTTAAATTATTTAATAATTCCTCCAAACATTCTCAGTTTTATTTGTAAGCAACAATGCTATATCATGAAATCAATTATTTAAAACAATGTTCTAGGTATTGGGGTAACTGACCTCATATAGCTTACATTCTAGTGGGAAAAACAGACAGTGAACCAGTACACAAGATATCAGATTGAGGTAAAGAGGGGTGAAGAAGCCTTTTATAATAGGTACCACTTCATTTGAAACCTCTAGGAAGGCAGTAGCCCTGCAAAAATATGAAAAGAATCTTTTAAGCAATTTTTGGCTAATGAAGGTTTAACGAGTTATTCTGCTATATATTTATATGCATTCCTTCCAAATTATATAACCTTGTACTGCTCCCTATTGAATCTTATTGTTCTTATTTTGAAGACTAATTCTATCTTTTACAAGCTTTTCATTATCTCCTTTAATTGGTGTATTCCAAAAGCTTAAGATGCATGTCTTCTAATTTAAACAAGCATTTCTTAATAATATTAACTAACATTTAGTTTAGGAGGTGTTTCTGCCAAGTAACACTTAATAGTAGTAGGAAAAATAATAACTGAAAGAACTTATGGGATAGGCCTAAATGAGTTTTCCAGAAAATAATTTGGTCACACTTTGCAGGGAAAACAGGCTGAAACAGGCAGAGTATAACCCATTCAGAAGATGAGGCTAATGGGACCATGAACCACTGATGGGTTGGTCTAATAGCAGTGAAAGAGCCCAACAGATAATTGAGAGGTTTATAATGTCATGGATGTGGGATGAAGAAGCCAATCAACTGGCAAGGTTGGAAAAAACCTTCCCCAGCACATTAGCTCTCTGAGACATGCTGCCACCACCTGGGCAATAGGCAATTCTGAAGTTTGGGGGGATTTTAGTTACTATCCTTTAACAATTATAGAATCAAAAAACATAATTTCATTTTATAAAATCAGCATTTTTTGTCAAGAAAAATGAAAGACAAACAATGCTGATTTCATAAAATGAAAGTATGTTTTATGATTCTACAATTGTTTTGTGTTTTGATTGGAAAACAGCAGTGATTTGGCCAGATAACTTAAAAATCCTGCTTTATTTTTAAAGTCTCTGGTTCCCTATCTGTAAAATTAGTATAAAAATAACAATCCTGTGGGGTTGTTTAGTTTCAGGATTAGTGATAATAAGTGTGAAGCACCTAGCCCAGCACCTGGTACATACTAAGTACTCAATAAGTAGCTTTTTTTTGAGACAGAGTTTTGCTCTTGTTGCCCAGGCTGCCAGGCTGGAGTGCAGTGGTGCGACCTCGACTCACTGCAACCTCTGCCTCCCAGGTTCAAGCGATTCTACTGCCTCAGCCTCCCAGGTAGCTGGGATTACAGGCACGTGCCACCACACCCAGCTAATTTTGTATTTTTAGTAGAGACAGGGTTTCTCCATGTTGGTCAGGCTGGTCTCAAACTCCCAACCTCAGGTGATCTGCCCACCTCGGTCTCCCAAAGTGCTGGAATAAGTAGCTTTTTTTTTTTTTTTTTAATGGAGTTTCGCTCGTTACCTAGGTGGGAGTGCAATGGCACGTTCTCTGTTTGCTGCAACCTCCGCCTCCCAGGTTCAAGCAATTCTCTTGCCTCAGCCTGCCAAGTAGCTGGGATTACCAGCATGCGCCACCACGCCTGGCTAATTTTGTATTTTTAGTGGAGACGGGTTTCACCATGTTCATCAGGCTGGTCTCAAACTCCCGACCTCAGGTGATCCACCCGCCTCTGCTTCACAAAGGGCTGGGATTACAGGTGTAAGCCATTGCACCTGGCCACAATAAGCAGCTTTAAAAAATAGTATTCTTCTTCAGTATAAACTTTCAAATATCAATAAAATCTGATTATGCTAAAAAAAAAAAAATCACTGGCTGGGCACAGTGGCTCATGCCTGTAATCCCAGCACTTTGGGAGGCTAGGCAGGCGAATCACGTGACGTCAGGAGTTCAAGACCAGCCTGCCCGACTGATAAAGACCCGTCTCTACAAAAAATACAAAAATTAGCCGGGCATGGTGGTGCATGCTTGTAGTCCCAACTATTCTGGAGGCTGAGGCAGGAGAATCACTTGAACCTGGGAGGCAGAGGCTACAGTGAGCCGAGATCGTACCACTGCACTCTAGCCTGGGAAAAAGAGCAAGACTCTGTCTCAAAATAAATAAATAAATAAAAATAAATAAATATGCCTATTAAGAAATGTATTTACATTATGTTTCAATGGAAGTAAAAAAACCTCACAAAATAAAATTTAGGGACGAAACTAATTCCATCAAAGTAAGGTGCAGGTGAGAGAACTCTCAAAGTCTTTTAGACAAGACTCAATTGTTACTATTAAACTATATTATCATCTTTAATATTATCTGAATCTTATTCTGGTTTCACTACTTACAACTTTGACATGGGTTAGAATGAGATGTAATTTTGTACCAATCAAGGGAAAAATACTTTTTAAGCAAAAAAATGGCATGTGACTGCCACAGGACTTCCATTCTCAATAGAAAAAATAATTTTATAAGGCTCTACTTGTAAAATATAATTGCAATAGAGGACACTAGTGCTGAAGAGGCTGGTGGTATGACATACTACACAGGAATTATCTTATGCAAAGGCAGGCCGTACTTCATTAACAGCATAAGGTTTAGTTAATTTGGCTAAACTTACATGAATAAGATCTCATTTCTTAGAAGTAAATAAAGCAGACCTTATTTCCTTGTTTTTCTAAATTGGTATTCTGACAGACATTTGAGAGAGAATAAAAACCTGATTAAGGATCTTTTCAAACAAACAAATAAGATCTTGGTCTGGAACAGTGGCTCACACCTGTAGTGCCAGCACTTTGAAAGGCAAAGGCAGGAGGATCACTTCAGGCAAAGAGTTTGGGACCAGCCTGGGTAACAGAGTGAAACCCTGTCTCTAGAAAAAAATTTTAAAAAATTAGTTGGGCATAGTGGCATGCATCTGTAGTCCCAGCTACTCTAGAGGCTGAGGTGGGAGGATTGCTTGAGCCCAGGTAGTCGAGGCTGCAGTTAGCTGTGATGGACTCACTGTACCCCAGCCTGGGTGACTTGGTGAGACCCTGTATCAAAAAAAAAAAAAAAAGGAAAATCACTGAAACTCGTTCTCTCTAGTTGGGCTTGACTTCGAACTGAATACAGTAAGCAGAAAATTAACATTGGTCATAGTTTTTAAAAATAATGAGTATGCTAAGTTGGGCATGGTGGCTTGTGGCTGTAGTCCCAGCTACTCAGAAGGTGAGGAGGGAGGATCCCTTGAGCCCAGGAGTTCGAAGAGGCAGTGGGTTATGATTGCACTACTGCATTCCAGCTGGGCCAGAGCAAGACCATGTTTAAAAAAAAAAAAAAAAAAAAAAAGGCCAGGCGCAGTGGCTCACGCCTGTAATCCCAGCACTTTGGGAGGCCGAGGCGGGCGGATCACGAGGTCAAGAAATTGAGACCATCCTGGCCAACATGGTGAAATCCCATCTATACTAAAAATACAAAAATTAGCTGGGCGTGGTGACGTCCGCCTGTAGTCCCAACTACTCCGGAGGCTGAGGCAGAAGAATTGCTTGAACCAGGGAGGTGGAGGTTGCAGTGAGCCGAGATCCCGCCACTGCAGGACAGAGGCTCCGTCTCAAAATTTAAAAAAAAAAAAAAAGACCTTAAGAAAACTTGCAATAATGTTTCTATCAAATACCTTACTATGTTATTTATTTAGGTAAGAAAAATGACCAAATCCAGTCCAATTTACAGATTTTAAAGCTGAAAGGGCATTGGAGATTGCCTAGTATGCTTTCCACAGATATAAGTGGAAACACACTCAGAGTGATTTATCAGAGTATACATATCATTACTGTACCAAGACTGTGAATCTCAGTTCACGAGCTCAGACTCCTCATTATGGAAAGTAGTTCACAGTATTTGAACCAATTCTGACACCACCTTTAGTTAAGGCAATGCAGATTGCAGTAAGGAGCTCCACTGTGGCAACCCCTATGCTGTTCTTGGTCTTACAGACTGTCCTGTAACTTGAAGCTAGATAAGCAAACTTAGATTGTAAAGGCATGGTCTAGATCAGCAGTCTCCAACCTTTCTGGCATCAAGGACTGGTTTCGTGGAAAACAATTTTTCCATGGATGGGGAGGGGGCATGTTTTCAGGATGAAGCTCTTCCACCTCAGATCATCAGGCATTAGATTCTCATAAAGAACACACAACCTAGATCCCTCACACATGCAGTTCACATTAGGGTTCGCACCATGAAAATCTAATGATGCTGCTGATCTGACAGGAGGCGCAATTTAGACGGAAATGCTCACTCACCCATCGCTCACCTGCTGCTGTGAGGCCCTGTTCCTAACAGGCTGCAAACCAGGTACCAGTCCATCGTTGGGGATCCCTGGTCTAGATTACAGCTGAAGAGCTACAAAGGCTTTCTCCTTATTTGCCCTTTCTTCCTGCCCAAGACTTCCATGCTTTTAACCAGGGATGCAGCACTCCAAGTATCCAGAGGCAGTAACTGGGAAAATCATCTATCATGATTAAAATAAAACACGCATTGGCCTCTGGAACGAAGGATGTTAAAATACATTCTGACCACATCTTGGATTCACGACTTGGAGAAGTTTTAGAAAAATCGGTTATCTCAAGTAAGTATTCAGTGCACACAATCCAGTGACTGAGTCTGCTTTTTCTGGCTACTACAGGTACAGGCTAGGCCTAAGCAGCATAGGCTTTGAAACTATAATCCAGGTTTTCAAATAAAAAGGGGTAAGAAAACAACTGCTGGTAATACAACATCTCAAACATTAACATATGCCCAACGGACAGTATCGTAGATCGTTAGATTATCTGCCAAAAGTCTGTTCCCTGGTAAATAACAGTTATTGTTGTTTTACCTAAACTAGTTAAACATGTCGCAGCTTGCTCCTGAAAGAAAACATTATATAGTCTTTGGAGAATCAAACAGTGAAGAGGTCTTGCAACATTTGTCAGAGGTAGTCAAACAGTGCAAGCAATCACAAAATTTGGTCACCAACCAAACCAGAGCTAATCTTTCAGTTCCCGTAGATTAGAAGACAATATTAACTCACCCTTTTTGCATGTTGACTTTTGCATCCTTTTATTTGTGTATTGAAAGAACAAGCACCTCTATGGGAACTCTATGCCCTGACAGTTTAATTACTTATCAAGTTTACTCTGGGCAGGTATTGATCATTCTTTCGTGAAACGAATTAGGTACTTAAATTAAAAACAAACAACAAAATCCCCCTTTTCACATAGCATGGCAGCATGTCCCTTGGTAACAAGGTTGAGTGGATCCACCAAGGCCCCGCAGCTTGCCTCCTTTACGTAAGGATGTAACTATTGCCCAACCAGAAGAGAGAGGCGTGGAGTGGGATGTGAACCAGGATGAACTCGTCGGAATTGCCAAGGGTCGTTGTGTGACCCTTACCTTGACTTCGGGCGGTTTGTGGGAACCCAAATGCTTTCTTGCCGCAGCTCTTTGGTCTGAGTTTCTCTCAGCCAAACACCTCACCCACCCGGGACCCTCCAACTGTCCGGCTACAGCAGGGGATGGGGGTTGTCTTCCGATCGACCTCGGGAGGCAAAGGCAAAAGTTCCTAGCTGCTTCGGAACCTCTCCTCGAGTCCTGAAGCCGCTGCACGCCTCCTCGCCCATCACTTGGTCCCCGCAGGACGTGGCAGTCTCGGGTTCAAGCCTGGAAAGGAGCCTGGGTGCTGTCACCCGCCCCGCGCTGCCTCACCTGCCGCTCCCCGGAAATCTCAGCGCCACCCTGTCCCCCTCCCCCACCCTCCCGCGTCCTCCAACTCGAGGTCCCAAGACCCACACAGCAATGGCGCAGCCGGAAACCGGCTCCTAGACTTCCTAACGCCCAGCTGGCGGTTCGGGTCGTCTGTGGGCGGGACGCAAAGGCCGCGACTTCCGCCTTCCTGCTTCCGGTCTGGCGGTGAGTGGGGAGTGGGATCCAAGCCCCTGGGGCGAGATAGAGGAAGCTGGCGGCTACCGCTTCCGTGGTTTTCTCCTGGTGTCCAGCAGAAACGGCGGCGGCCCCTTGCGCCAATCCAGGATTCCCCAGGACCCTCGGCTCTGCGCGACAACGGGCCCGCGCTTGCCAAGGCCGAGGGGCAGAAGTGAACGTGGCCCCCGTGGGTCTGCGGCCCCGATAGGGTAAGGAGGGAAGAGTGAGCAGCGGAGAAACGTAAGAAATGAGGGAAAGACAAAGGAGCAAGGGAGAAACGTAAGAAATAAGAGAAAGAGAAAGGAGGAAGTGCGGACGGCCGTCAAGTGTTACCAGTTGCAGCCGCAGGGGCCACGCGGGTCTGGTTGGGAGATCGAGCCGGGTCGATCCGTTTTGGGCGGAAGAGTAGGATTTATTCCTGAAAGTGTGGAGGCGCGGGTGTTTGGGTCTGAAGTTGAGGTGCAGGGAGATGTGTGGCCTGTGGACCATGACTCTTACATTGTTTATTCGCTACTGGGCTGGAGAAGGTGAAGGCAGATCGATCTGAGTAGTACCTAATTCTGACTATGGGTGAGGTCTTATGAAGTCCGGGAGAAGATATTTAACGTATTAGGCACTTTCATGTGTGTTCAGTTGAAAATCGTGGGAAAGATATAATTAAAACCAGTCATAGTTTTCCTGGGGTAATGGGACTGTGGGTGAATTACTATAATTTGTTTGGTTATGTCTTCTAATTTTTTAAGTAAAGGACACAAATTGTATGATAGACCCAAAAAAACCTTTAAAGAGTAAGATGAGGTGTTTGATTTTGTAGTGGTGTACCTAATCCAGTAAATGAATGAATGGCAACATTTTTAGTATAGAAAGTTGAAAATCTAGGAACGGATATACTGTGTAAGTCAGTGAGCCAACTTGTCTTCTATATGTCAATGAACTAAAAAAATTTTACTATTGAAATAACTAACTTAGTAAAATACTTGATTTCCAGTAATTAGGATTTTCTTACAGGGCACTTGCAATTGTGGTAAATTCAAATGAGGAAGAAACATATTAAGTTACTATAATGGATAGGCAATTTTAGATGTCATATAGATTGCGTATATACAATATAGAAATTTTCCATTTAAAATTTTATTACAATTATCCTGAAAGTTGTGACTTAAATTTTGTTTTATTTTTTGTATTCTTTCCAGCTAGCCAATTGTACAGAATTTAAATAATCTCTCAGATGTGTACAGTAGAACTCAAGAAGACAGACTACCAAGGGTCATCTGAAGTCGTGATTGGGTCACTAATAATACCAGGACAAAGTTAGAGATCACTACTCAAGCATAAGGTAGATAATTTTTTTAAAAATTCCAGTTGAAATCGTAAGTGGATGTATATACCTCATTCCCTACCCAGGTATTCTAATTCTCCACTTTGAATAGAGGTTGACACAAACATGAAAGGTAGAAAAGCCTCTGGGGCAAAATAGAAAACATCACTCAAGTCACATAATCCTCATTTGCCAGATGCCTTTTCCTTACACTCAAAAAGGAACAAAACACATGGCATCTTGTTAAGGCTACTTTTCTCATTTATTAAATTAGGCTTATTCCAGCAGAGGTCCTCAAAGCTGAAAGGGCATAAAATAGCACAGTACTTTTTGCTGCTTTGGCATATTAATGTGATTGTCATGACTCCCTTACCCTCCCTTTCCCATTCCTGGAAATAGCCATCTCTCCTTCTCTGCGAGTATTGCACATGCTCTGTCGCTTGTCCTTTTAAACACCAAATTTGCTGATTTGTATTTTTGTTAATTAGTAATACTAAGGATATGTCAAAAAATGACAAACTGTGTTCAGCTCTTAATGACCATAGAAAACTCAAGATTCTTATGAAAGCCTCCTGCTAAATAAAGTTTGTCTTCCATATAGGAGGCATGTGAGAATGCATAGTCCTTATGACAGAGTCACATGGCTTTTTAAAATCTTCTATAACTTTACATCTTTGAAGTGTCACTATTCTGGCTGTCCTAGATGAATTACTTTTTCCTAACTGGAAATACTAGTCCTTATTACAGTAGTACTAATTAGTACTTTTTAAAAAAGCAAACTGAGTGATAATGGAATCATGAGTTAACTGGTTGTGTGAGGAAACTTTTTCAAAATTTGACTAACCACAGTCTTTCTCCTGTTTTTTTTCCTCTGTTTTTCTCCTGTTTTTCTCCACCCACCTTCTCCAGCCCCAGTTTTCATAAGACTGCAGTGAAGATGTTTGATATAAAGGCTTGGGCTGAGTATGTTGTGGAATGGGCTGCAAAAGACCCATATGGCTTCCTTACAACTGTTATTTTGGCCCTTACTCCACTGTTCCTAGCAAGTGCTGTACTGTCTTGGAAACTGGCCAAGATGATTGAGGCCAGGGAGAAGGAGCAGAAGAAGAAACAAAAACGCCAAGAAAACATTGCAAAAGCTAAACGACTAAAAAAGGATTGAAGGACTGAATAGGCTCTGCAACCAGAGGAAAATCATTTGGAAAATTATGCAGCTTTGGAAGAACCCACTAAAGTTTCTTCTTTGGATTTCTTGACAGTATTATTTAGTAAATGAAATCTGACCAAATGGAAGAATCATGTTAGTTCTGACCTCAATACTATAGTAACTTTTAGGCTTGGGTGTAGAAGTTTGTAGGTTTCTATTGACAGTTATTATAAATTATCATTTACTGTGGTACAAATTCTTTATAACTGACTTAGTCATTTGCCGCTTAGCAGTTTATCTACTGAAATGAAAACATCCTGTGGGGAAAAGTGACTTTAGATTATGAACTCAATTCAAATGAACTCTATTTAAAATGGGGTCCTGTTTTGGACAAAGGAAATTAAGAATGTAAAAGTCAGAACTGTCTTGTTTGAGGTAAAAGTGTGCTTTGGCTTAAAAGAGATACAGTATATTAGTTACGTCTTTTATTATTATTGCTTATTTCTTAGAATCATTTCTGACTTTCTCAAAACAAAATAATATTAATCAATGAGTACTTCTATTTGCTGCATTTTTCTTATAGCCTTTGAGACAGCTGGTAATTATCAAGTCATTTTGCATTTTTAAAAACAATTTTATAAAGCATTCTCTTGACTATGTAGAATACCACCTACTGGATAGAACAATTTCTGTACTCACAAACACTGCCATTTTCTTAGAGATGGCTTGTTGAGAGGAGTAACACTATGGTTTAAACCTTGCAGTAAAAATGCCAAACACTGTAGTACTTTGGAACCGGTTTATTCTTGTGCTAAGCAGAACTGTAAAACAGTTAAAATGTCTTATCAAGTAATTCGCTGATTATATAGACACCACTTTTGTATTTTATTTCATTCTTTGTTTTAACTCATGTGGTAGTGATATTTAATACTTTCTGATCAAACAGTTTCAAAGTAAAACTTTAAATTTCACATTTCTTTTAAAGAACTTGTAAAGCATAACAGTGATGTCATACTTCTTAAGTGGTAAAGAAAGGTATAAAATTTGGAAACATTTTGTTGGGCATAGTAGTAATTGGGTGAAAAGGATAAATTATATCAAAATGAGAATGTGCTGTAATTGGAAGTAAGGAGCTAAAGGATGTTTCTTTCAGTTAAGTAGTATAACTGGAATGTTTTACTATTAAACGTGGCTTTTATAAATGCATGGTCCAATAATTTTGTTCACTGTTAGTATTTAATTCACTGTCAGCTTATTGTTTTCTGTACCCTGATAATGAATTTTAAATTACAAAAAATTATCCAGCAGCTACAGTTTAAAAATGAAACTAGATATTAAAATAAATTTGATAATTTTTTGTAAGGTCCTGGATTTTATTTTATTTTTTGGTGGAACTACATTTTTAAGTTACATTATGTTATGCAGGTTAGAATTTTCAATTACAGCTAAGCATACTTGTAAAACTTCAGGACTATATCTGAGAACCTAAGGACCACTGAGAATGTTTATGGACGAGTTTGAATAACAATGCTATTCTTTTAGATTATCAGTCTCTACTTGGTGCCAGTGTGAGCAACACATTATAACTCAAGGCACTGAAATAATTCAGTGTTAAGATAGATCTAAAATACATGTGGTTTTCTGCAATCAAGCTGTTCATGGAAAGAATTTATGTACATGTTTTACTTAGGGTCACATTTTAGAGTAAAAGTATTGAAGCAAAGGATATAGTCATAATTCTCAGTTATCTACTAAAGTTACGGTTTTATCCGTTCCGTTGTAACAACTTAAAGGTATCTAACTAAAGTTCTGTTTTTCTATAATTTGTTAGCCTTAACACATGCCAATTTTGTATTTGTTTGACGTATGCTTTTTTTTCCCACTTTTTCCCATCATTTAGAGAGCCTTTTTATATATGTGAGATTGAGATTTTACTCTGTGTGTGTGTGTGTGTGTGTGTGAGATTGGGGGAGTAAAGAGAATATTGTGAGGTTTGGGATGCTTCAGAAAAAACCTCTCACTGCAACAGAGTACTGTTGTTAAAGAATCTCATTTGCTATTATCTAGAATACTTTTAAGAAATTGTTTATCTATTACGTTTCTGAAGTTCTGAGAACTAAATACAATCAATTACCATTCTAAAGCTGGTCTTGGGCGGAAAAAGAAAGCTGTCCCCTGGCTGCCTGTAACAAACATTTTATCAAAAATAAGCAAATAAATAAAAGTTTGTGTGTCAGAACTTGAGCCATAGTATCCATATGAAAACTTACAGCATGTTACTACTTATCAGATATATAAGGACATTTTAAATTTTACTTATTTGTAATAAGCAGACTAGAAATAAGCACAGGAGGCTGGGCACAGTGACTCATGTCTAATCCCATCACTTTGGGAGGCCGAGGCGGGTGGATCACGACGTCAGGAGTTCGAGACCAGCCTGGCCAACATGATGAAGCCCCATCTCTACTTAAAGTACAAAAATTAGCTGGGTGCGGTGGCATGTGCCTGTAATCCCAGCTACTGGGGAGGCTGAGGCAGGAGAATTGCTTGAACCCAGGAGGTAGAGGTTGCAGTGAACCAAGATTGCGCTACTGCACTCCAGCCTGGCGACAGAGCGAAACTCCGTCTCAAAAAACAGAAAAAAGAAACAACAAAGGAAGCTGTGGGCTGGAAACCTAATGTTGAAATAGATCTTATATTTTATATGGTTCTAAGTTGGAGGAAATTTGATCTTATTTAGGAATGATTGCTTTTATGTTTGCTACTGGTTATAGAATCATGCTGATTTACTTCGTATCTGGAATAAATAAGGACAAATTCTGCATTTCTCAAACGTATTAAAAGGGATCACATGGTCAAATACCCAAAGTTTGGGAAACACATGTACAACTTAGACAAATTTCTGGATGATCTCTTGGAGTGTTTTAACTTGACTACCATAGATTGTCCTCTACACCTCTCTTTTTCTCCGAAGAACTTAAGTACAATTTGGGAAAGCCTACTCTAAAACTCAGATTACATTTAAATAGCATAGATAATGAGATAGCTTTTAAACAATCAATATAAGGATATTATATTAATTCAAGGTTAATTAAATGACATCCAGAAATCTGTTATTAAGAATGGAAAAGGATTATTTCCTCCATTTTTGTTGGTTTTTAACTTCAGGTATCTAAGGCGTAATAAGCTAGGTTTATATAATTAAACCCAGTAGCCAGCATTTTCTGTACTTTGTCAGTTTGTGTAATATGAAGCTATTTTTGTAAAAACCAAAAGTATGCTATATGCATGTATAGCAGAGGCATAGAATGGAAGGCTTTACTTCTGAGAAAGTACTTAAGTATAAATAATATTCTTCATGTTAACATGAACAGTTTTACTTTTGAAATTGAAGAGTTTTTTTGGCATAGGTTTGAAATCTGTCTTGAATAGACATTTTCATAATAAACTTGTAAATGTCCAGAGTATAATTATGATATGAAGTATGGTGGGCAAACTAATATTTAATATTTTTAATTCTGCTTTGTGTCTGGCCTAAACGCAAGGTTTGTTTTTTCTTTTTTTTTTTATTTAAGAAAAGTTGTTTAGAAAGGCAAATAAATATCAATTAGGCCAAGATTATAATTCACTTTGTATGCAGGATATTTAACTCTGTGCCAATACCACCTAACTAACGTGACCAGTCACCCTAAACATGTCAGCCTGGAGGAAAGGGATATGGATAGGTTATTACAAATTTAATTTCCACCACCCCAGAAATCCCCTTGAAAGTACAAGCTCTTCTAATAATGGTGGCTGTATATCATCATCTTTAACATAAGGCATTTTCTAGAAGGGACTCCTGGCCAAGATTTTCTCATGCTGTTTATGCAAAACAGGTATTTTAAAATGAAAACCATAAAAATTAGTAGTTAACTTCTGCCATATCTAAGATGTTTATAAACAGACTATGTGGTAAACATTTGCAAAAGGTGTATATGGAATGCAATTAATGAGGTAACAGGAATTTGGCAGTAGAAACACTAGTGTGTTAAAACATTTACAATTTTCTCTACAATCCAGTCTAGCAGTTAAGAACACCTCAATTCACAGTCCCAACTATACCACAAGTTATATCTCTTTTTTCTTTTTTTTTTTGAGACGGAGTCTCGCTCTGTTGCCCAGGCTGGAGTGCAGTGGCCGGATCTCGGCTCACTGCAAGTTTCGCCTCCCAGGTTTACGCCATTCTCCTGCCTCAGCCTCCCAAGTAGCTGGGACTGCAGGTACACACCATCATGCACAGCTAACTAAAAAAAATTTTTGCCGCAGGGCATGGTGGCTCATGCCTGTAATCCCAGCACTTTGGGAGGCTGAGGCGGCTGGATTACCTGAGGTCAGGAGTTCGAGACCAGCCTGGCCAACATGGTGTCGAACGTGGTCATGAAACTTTGTCTCTACTAAAAATACAAAAATTAGCTGGGCATGGTTGCACACATCTGTAACCCCAGCTAGTCGGGAGGCTGAGGCAGGAGAACCCTGGAGGTGAAGCTGCAGTGAGCCGAGATGGTGCCATTGCACTCCATCTCAAAAAATAAAAATTTTCTAGAGATAGGGTCTTGCTATGTTGCCCAGGCTGGTATCAAATGCTAGGCAATCCTCCCATCCTTGCCTCCCAAAGCACTGGAATTACAGGTCTGAGCCACCCTGCTGGCTGTATATATCTCCTTTCATATTACCTAGTGACTAGTTCCTTTTTTGCCTCTGTGGGAAAATGTAGTATCACTTTGTAATTATATAATAAGATAAAATATTTAACCTGATATTATATAACAGGGCTGCTGGAATGTTGGGCTTGTTGTCATTAACTATGGTGATTTTGTCATTTGATTACTTGTTTTAGTAATAATGTTTTATATAGTTTTATGTTTCTGTAGTGTATTTCTTAGGCAGTTAAAATTTTTACCTGCTATTAAGTAAAAATTTTAATCTATGTGTTTTTAGGAATTCATTGTTAGTGCTTAACCAAGATATTCAGAGTGTAAAAATTTGGGTCATTCAAAAATCTTAAGCTGATAAACAACTTCAGCAAAGTCTCAGGATACAAAATCAATGTGCAAAAATTACAAGCATTCCTATACATCAAGAAAGAGAGAGCCAAATCATGAGTGAACTCCCATTCACAATTACTACAAAGAGAATAAAATACCTAGGAATCCAACTTACAAGGGATGTGAAGGACCCCTTCAAGGAGAACTACAAACCACTGCTCAACGAAATAAAAGAAGACACAAACAAATGGAAGAACATTCCATGCTCATGGATAGGAAGAATCAATATTGTGAAAATGGTCATACTGCCCAAGGTAATTTATAGATTCAATGCTATCCCCATCAAGCTATCACTGAGTTCACAGAATTGGAAAAAACTACTTTAAATTTCATATGGAACCAAAAAAGAGCCTGCATAGCCAAGACAATCCTAAGCAAAAAGAACAAAGTTGGAGGCATCACGCTACCTGACTTCAATCTATGCTGTACGGCTACGGTAACCAAAACAGCATGGTGTGGTACCAAAACAGATATATAGACCAAATGGAACAGAACAGAGGCCTCAGAAATAACACCACACATCTACAACCATCTGATCTTTGACAAACCTGACAAAAACAAACAATGGGGAAAGGATTCCCTATTTAATAAATGGTGCTGGGAAAACTGGCTAGCCATAAGTAGAAAGCTGAAACTGGATCCCTTCCTTACACCTTATACAAAAATTAAGATAAATTAAACACTTAAATGTAAGATCTAAAACCATAAAAGCCCTAGAAGAAAACTTAGGCAATACTATTCAGGACATAGGCATGAGCAATGACTTCATGACTAAAACACCAAAAGCAATGTCAACAAAAGCCAAAATTGACAAATGGGATCTAATTAAAGAGCTTCTGCACAGCAAAAGAAACTATCAGAGTGAACAGGTAACCTACAGAATGGGAGAAAATTTCTGCAATTACTCATCTGACAAACGGCTAATAGGCAGAATCTACAAAGAACTTAAACAAATTTATAAGAAAAAACCCCATCAAAAAGTGGGCAAAGGATATGAACAGACACTTCTCAAAAGAAGACGTTTATGCAGCCAACAGACACATGAAAAAATGCTCATCATCACTGGTCATCAGAGAAATGCAAACCAAAACCACAATGAGATACCATCTCACACTAGTTAGAATGGTGATCATTAAAAAGTCAGGAAACAACAGATGCTGGAGAGGATGTGGAGAAATAGGAACACTTTTACACTGTTGGTGGGACTGTAAATTAGTTCAACCATTGTGGAAGACAGTGTGGCGATTCCTCAAGGATCTAGAACTAGAAATACCATTTGACCCAGCAATCTTATATACCTAAGGATTATAAATCATGCTACTATAAAGACACATGCACACATATGTTTATTGTGGCACTATTCACAATAGCAAAGACTTGGAACCAACCCAAATGTCCATCAATAAAAGACTGGATAAAGAAAATGTGGCACATATACACCATGGAATACTATGCAGCCATAAAAAAGGATGAGTTCATGTTCTTTGCAGGGACATGGATGAAGCTGGAAACCATCATTCTCAGCAAAATAGCACAAGGACAGAAAACCAAACAACATGTGTTCTCACTCATTAGTGGGAGTTGAACAATGAGAACACATGGACACAGGGAGGGCAGCATCACACAACAGGGCCTGTTGGGGGATGGGGGTCTAGGGGAGGGACAGCATTAGGAGAAATACCTAATGTAAATGATGAGTTGATGGGTGCAGCAAACCAACATGGCACATGTATACCTATGTAACAAACCTGCACGTTGTGCCCATGTACCCTAGAACTTAAAAGTATAATAATAAAATACAAAAGAAAATAAAAGCATTCATAATCTCACACACACCCCCCCCCCCACACACCCCCCCCCCCACACACACACAAATTTGGGTCATTCATTCAGTAAATATTGAGCATCTATTGTATGCCAAACACTGTGAGAAAAACTCTGTTTTGGAATAACAACAAAAACTTTGTTGTGCACTCCAGAAAATGTATGGCCCTCTTAATGTACTTTTGTATATAATGTTTTAATATGTACATTGTCTTCTGTCTTCTAGTGGAATTAATTTCTGCTTTTTGAGAGCTTTCTCCAATTTTCTATTTTTTCAAAGTAATTTTCATTCTCATGGAACTCCAGTTATTGCATTATTTCTTTCTCTACTGTCCTTTCAGACTTTGTTATGGATTGTATACTTCTATTGGTCCTAATTTCTCTCTCCAAATTCCAACCAGAGTCCCACCATAACGTAGCTTTTGTCCCATCCTCTCATCAAGGTCTTAGTGGTTTTTTTTCACTTATCAACTAAGTTTTCTTTGCCTCTACATGTTTTATCCAAGTTCACATTTTTTATTAGTCTTTTAGAATCTTACAGGTCACCTCTCCAGAAATAAGAATCTTCATTCTTTTTTCTCCTACATTTGATCAGTTGGGAGAGCTCACTATTTTACCCTCATTATTTGTACCCAGTTATATCTATGAGTGGTTCCCAAATGATCATAAAGATCCAAAATGTACTAAGCATTCACAGCTACAGGATCCTTCTCAAGGGATTAATCCAAAGAAGGAAAAACAAATCTAAGCAAATTCATAAATAACAATGACTAAGTCAAATGAAGGATTTTAATCTAAAAGTAGTTAGGTTTCTATAGTACATAATCTCACATTTCTTGTGCATACTAAAAATGAACTCTTAAGATTAATGGAATAGGAAACTATTGTACATTCAGAAAATACAAGGTAATTAAGTTTTGACTTCTTTTATTTGTTAAAATAGTCACATCCATATACATGAAAAGATTTGACCATAATGCATTCATTGACTGTGGCTCTTGCCATCTTGTGGCACCCAGGATCCTGGCTGAAAGGTTTTACCAGTGCTGCTGGGAGCCACTGAGGGTTCTTCCTTTCCGAAGTATGGAGCAGAGGCATGGCCTTTAATTTGAGTTTGAACTGGTGGAGGCAAGAGTTCCTCACTGGTCTCTTTACTAAGGAGTTTTTCTTTTTCACAAAAATCTTGGCTTTTTATTTTGACTTCTTCTCTGTATTTTTCATTCTTTACTATTTCCTGCATGTATATATAAATGGAAGAAATTATTAAATTTCTAGTTAAAAAAACAAACAGTTTTTATAAAAATAGACAATAAAAAATACATATTATATACATATAAATACATACATACATACTTTGCATTTAAATAATATACAGATATGTATATAAGTTTGAAAAAGCTGTATGATTACATACTAGTGTTAAACAGTTCTGTCCTGATTTTATGCTATAATAGACATGAAGCACCCCATAGTAGAAATATTTACTACCCAAAAAATGAAACAAATGTCAAATATTACACAAGAGCCTGAGACACTCTATGAAAGATTTCCTAAGCTTAACATTGATTTCTGCCCTAAAACTCAGTGACTGTACTTTTCCACTGGTGAGAAAGAAGTGCTCTGACTACCTTTTTTTTTTTCTTTGCTGTTCAAATGTGTGAATGCTAATGTCACCCTCTGTAGTACCAGAACCAAGCCCCATCTATTAATATTTCCCTTTCTCTTCTGGAGTGGTATGGCAGGAAAGGAGGAGGATAGGAATGGAATCAGGGTTTGGCATGCCCTAGACACTGTTGCAGAGAGGCTCTTTGCTATTGGAAATACTTTCTCAAATCTGTGCAAACAGATTGTACAATGCAGTTCTGTTCCTCAGAATTCTACCTAGGAGGATCTATACCAAAAATTACCATCAATCCTTTGTTACTGTGTTTCCTTGAATAAAAGACCATCACATTTAAGAAGCATCACTATAGCACTAAAAAAGGCAAATTCCACACATAGTTTCAGAGATATTAATATTTGAAAAGATACGTATCTTATAAACAAATGCAATACAGTAATTACATCTTTGGTCTTTATTCATTCCTTCTCTGTTTTTTTTTTTTATTGTTGTTGTTGTTTTGAGACGGAGTTTTGCTCTTGTTGCCCAGGCTGGAGTACAATGGCGTGATCTCGGCTCACCACAACCTCAGCTCACCGCAATCTCCACCTTCCAGGTTCAAGTGATTCTCTTGCCTCAACCTCCCGAGTAGCTGGGATTACAAGCATATGCCACCACACCAAGCAAATTTTGTATTTTTAGTAGAGATGGGGTTTCTCCATGTTGGTCAGGCTGGTCTCGAACTCCTGACCTCAGGTGATCTGCCCGCCTCAGCCTCCCAAAGTGCTGGGATTACAGGTGTGAGTCACCATGCCTGGCCCATTCCTTCTGTTTTCACAATGCATGTCTAAACGTGTGAAATTTTTTAATGTTCTTTTTGCTTACTTGTATTATCTGATTTTTAGAACATGTTATTTGTAATGTGAAACTAGAACGTTAATGTAACTAACATCCGACAACACTGACCAAAAAAAAAGCTCTCTAAAGTATTTTAAAATTTCAAAACTTTTAAAAAATGTCAATTAAAGGGCAATGTCTGGATATCTAAATGTATGATATCACCTGTTTCTCAAGTGAATTTCAAGTAATATTGATTGTATAGTCCTTTAAAAAGGTAAGCTCTGATATTAAAGTGACATCTAAAATAACAGTTTGTACTTAAAGGGGAAAAAGTTTTTGTGGTTTTAGTGTTATAGACTTAGTTTTAGATGTGAAGAAGGGCCCATCTAATGAAACTTCTCCCTCAAAGCAAATATGTGCAGGAAAGAACAATACTTATAAATATTCTTGTAATTTTCACAACACAGAGCAATTCCCCATGAGTAGTTTAATCACCACAGTAACTGAGCTTCTGGGTAGTTGCTACAAGTGAAGGTAAGAGTAGAGAAATCAGGTTTTCTTTTTCCTATAACCTCTAGAATTGTTATGTAAGGTGACGATATATCACAAAGGAAATCCCTCAATATCATACTGGAAATAGTGGAAGTAGACAAAAATTCAAGTTCCTGTGTCTTCATGGAAGCTCGTTCTTCGGAGCGGAATGAAAAGTTCAGGACCAGGTTAAACTTGCACTAGTAACCGACCTCAAGTAGCAAGAGGATACTCAGAAATTGGTATGGAGCTTGGTTGGATTTTGTATTATAGATCAGTCACATCACCTGAAGCTGTGCCCATGCCTACTTTATTTATGTAATCTCTATAGTTGCAGTCTTACAGTTGGTACATGCATATGCTTTTTGATGAAAAGAAAATGGAGGACAAAGATCTGTTCTTGTTTCTCCTGCCTTCACATAATTTCTCTTCATTCAACATTACTTTTCTAAGACTTTCTTATAATAGCTATTGAGGCAAATGAAAAGTCAATCTGAATATATTAATTATTTTTACATATGAAGATGGTTAAAGATTTCAGAGTTGAAAAATATGGAGACCATAATTTTTCCTAAAAAAGAATTTTTTTGTTTTTCTGAAAAAAACATAACTGGTACCAGGCAAAATTAAACAGAGAGTAAATCATTTATGAAAGGAAATACAGTCTTGTAACTATTTGGAATTGAAGGGCCAGGTTCTGTGGCTTATGCCTGTAATCCTAGCACTTTGGGAGACCGAGGTGGGCAGATCATTTGAGGCCGGGAGTTCAACACCAACCTGGCCAACATGGGAAAACCCTGTCTCTACTAAAAATATAAAAATTAGCTGCGCATTGTGGCGCATGCCTATAGTCCCAGCTACTCGGGCGGCTGAGAGGCAGCAGAATTACTTGAAACTGGGAGGTGGAGGTTGCAGTGAGCTGAGGTCATGCCACGGCACTCCAGCCTGGGTGACAGAGCAAGACTCCATCTCAAACAAAACAAAAGAAAAAAAACCCAAACAACAACAACGAAAATATTTGGAATTGATAAGGAAGTAGTTACGTGGAGAAAACAGGGTAGGAATTGTAGACCTTAAAGACTGTTAAGAAAGTCTATTTTCAAATAGAAACTACCATAAAGCAAGTATTTTTCCTTACAATTCCTTGGAACAATATCACCCTATATCTCCATATGTTTATCAAATAACAGTATGTTTCAGTGTTTGTGTAAGGATAAAGCAGGAACGGGTGTCTCTCTACATAAATGTTTGTATTTTAAAAATAAATATTCATCATTTTACTTATCTTGCTGCCAATAAATATTTTTCTTTAACATTTAAAAAAAAGATGGCTGAATGGTATTTTCTCACCACGATTTACTTAACAACCACCTCTACTGTTGCTTCCAATATTTCACTTCTTCATTTAAAAAAATAACACTGATGACAATCCACATGGGTAATTCTTTGACTCAGACAGGGTTTCAATCCCAAATCTACCATTTGCTAGCTGTGTGACACCAAGAAAGCTACTTAACTTTTGTAGTCTCAGTTTTTTTTACCTGAAAATGGGGTTTATACTCATAACAGTATTATGTTTCTTAAGATAGTTATGTATTACAAGGTGAGTAAGCTTTTATAAAACAATGCCAAATGGGCTGGTGTTTTGGCTCACGCCTGTAATCCCAGCACTCTGGGAGGTCAAAGCGGGCAGATCACTTGAGGTCAGGAGTTTGACACCAGCCTGGTCAACATGGCAAAACCCTGTCTCTACTAAAAATACACAAATTAGCCGGGTGGGGGTGTACTCCTGTAATCCCAGCTACTCTGCAGGCTGAGGCATGAGAATTGCTTGAACCTGGGGGGTGGAAGTTACAGTGAGCCGAGATCACGCCACTGCACTCCAGCCTGGATGACAAAGCAAGACTCTGTCTCAAAATAATAAATAAATAAATAAATAAGTAAACAAACAATACCAAATGGAAGTATCTTCCTTTCGTTCCCCTTAAGTAACCTCTAGAATTCCCTTAAAGATCGAAAAGTTTATGCAGATTACAGATTTTTCCGTATTCTAATGTAAGCCAAACATTATTGATTTAAAAACTGAATATTGTTTATATGTGACTATATAAGTACAAATATTTATACCTCAAATTACTCATATGTATACTCTTCACATTGTTATTCTCTGAACGTTTCTCAATAGTGGCATAGAATTTGGGCTCTGAAGCCAGACCACTGAATACAAATCCCAGTTTTACCATTTACCAGCTGTGTGATTCTGTGAATATTATTTAACTTCCCTGTGTCTCACTTTTGTGTTGTGTGAAATGGAAATAATGTTGTCTTCTTCAGTGGACTGTTGTAAAGGTTGGGAAAGAACTGGCTACCGGGCAGTGATAGAACAACAGAAGAAGGTACAAATATATTTTAAAATAGTGATTGTTTATTTCATTCTGGTAAAAAATAAACATACCAAACTTGTACACATCTCTCTTTGAAATGGGTAGAGGTGTTAGTAAGTAAGAGGTAATCTACTAGTTTCAGACAAAAGATGGAATAACTGGTACCAGGCTAGTCCTCCTGCCATGACACAACTAGAAAACTGGACAAAAATACATTTTTCAGATACTGGACAAAAGGCAGCACAGTAGTGTGATCCCTGAAGGGCATCAATGAGTAACAAATTAGATAAGCCCTATATCATCCCAGCTTTCTGGCTGGAGACACATTACTGGCTGCTACACAGGGTGGGGGAATCCAACCAGAGGATGGTGGTTTAGGGAGAGATAGAGATGGTTGTTTAGGGAGTGTGAGAAAGTTGGAATATGCTAGGATATGTTAGGCAGAGTACCAGAATACACAGAGTAAGTAAGTTTTAGAAATCTGCATAGTAATCCAGTTGAGTGTTCAGCTAAATATTAAGCTGTCCATGTGCAGGGTGAAACTCCATAAAGCAAGAAGGACAACTTCTCACTAAAGAATACTGGGGAACTGTAGTGAAATTTTAATGAAAATTGCTGGAGCTGGCACTGGACTAGGAAAAAGTCAAGTTCTCACCAGCCAGGGAGAGCTCGTTGAACATCTGAGACATTGTAAAGATCCCAGAAGGGTCACTCCTTAGGTGTAGGGCTAAACTGGCATGAGAGTACAGCTTATTGAAGACTTATGCTGTACAATACAGTAGGCACTAGCCACATACCATTTAAATTAAATAAAAAATTCAGTTACTGAGTTATACTAGCCACATTTCAAGTATTTCATAGCCAAGTATAACGAGTGGC